AGTGGGATTGAGTGCCAAGGAACCTCTTCTTCCACTTAGGTATTTTTGTTCATGTAGTTTTAAATATTAATGACCACAGCAGCATTCCGGGAAAACCTTTAAGCTTTGAAGATTTCATAAAAATGCCAGAAGTTCCCAACAAAGCATATGAAGATCTGAAGTCAGGGTACTCTTAAGTTTCCCCTGAATAGGAATAGTATGTTCTGGCTTCCATGTGACACTTATACCTGTTATGCTTGGTCTTGGCCTCTCTTTCAGATTTCTAGTCCATACTGTTGTCCATGTAATGACATTAAGCAGTAGACTTTGCTCTGGAGTGGTGCATTTTAGCCACCATTTCTAAGTTGTCTGTTCTAAAACTAAGCCCATCAAACAGCTTAGCTGTTCTAAATACCAGGGGGTCTGGGGGTCAACTCTAATCCATGCCACCCCATGTGTGTCCATACAACTGGACTCTAGAGAATTTATTTGAATTGTTCTCTTATTTTTTAAAGTTTTTTAGTACTTCTGCAGACTTTTCTTTGGCGCACTATGGAATAGATTAAAAACACCAACCATTAGGCTAATAGCTGGACGTGTGAGCTCTGTTTTTTCTCAGAGAGGTGCCTCACCAGAAGAACATGCTGAGGTGATCGTCAGCTTCACCAAGTTCAACTTCACCAGGGCTTGGCTTCCAGCACGGCATTCACAGTGTCTACATTCTCCAACTTAGTGACGTGGAAAAGAAATAAATAGCTGGAGATTCATAGGCCCCCACAGAAGAAATAGTTTTAGGAGCCCTGCTCTCATTCTAATTGTCTTCTTTTCCAAAAATTTTCAAAGTTAGAATGTGTCAATGGTAATTTGAAGCAAATTTCATTTGGCACCTGGATTCTCTCCTTAACTGGTTGTGCTACACTTTAAAACACTTGTGTTTCTATACATTCTAAACTCTTGATTTTGTATTTGTGAAGAGGATAGAGTTACCCTAAATATTCTTACTGTGTTCTGCCGGCAGAGACCAGCAAAATCTCCTGTTACCTAGGAAGCCTAACTTTATTATGTGAAGAAATAAATGTGCCCATAAAATAAAAAATAGCTTACTTTCATGTAGCAGATTCTACTTTCCTGTGCAATATCTCACTGCAAGCCAATAGAAGCTCTCCACTCTCCTTAGTTCCATTTTACAGATGAGAAAACCAGTGTGTAAGCTGGTGATTCTCAAGGAAAGGTGAGTTTTTCCCTTAGGGTCATTTGATAACATCTGTAGCCATTTTGTTGTTGTTGCCAAAACATGGATGGGGCAGAGGGGAAGATGCTACTATCGTCTATTGAGTAGATGCCAGGATGCTATTGAGCATCCTGCAGTGTGCAGCGAAGTCTGCCTGCCCCAATTTTCCTACCCAAAATGTCATTAGGGCCAAAGTTCCATCCCTCACTGGTACTGTGTGTCTGAACCTGGTCTAGAGGACTGATTCTAATAGTGCGTGACTGGAAACGTTGTCAGGTGACCACTCTAGGCTTTACTTTGAACACTTCCTTCTCTGACTAGCAGCTCTGTTATTGTCCGTCGAGGTTTGCTTTGCCAGGGGAAACACTAAAGGGCAGCATCACTGAGCTGGGATTTTATAACCGAGACATAGAAGTAGCTGATAAGATATGCATAATTGCAATTCTGTGAAGTGGAATCAGTCAACTTCCCAGCAGAGCATTCTGAAAGCCTTTCTCAAGTTCAAGTCTCGTGCTTTCATTTGATTTAGTGACCATGTCCTGACTGTTTCTTACTGCCTGACATAAGCAAAGTGCCAGGAGATGGAAGTAAAGCCTCTGCTTCTGTTCAAACCTACATTTTGATGTATATGTGCTGTCATTAGCAAGCATCCTCCATGCTGAATACCAGCAAAGGGAGCAAGGAAGTGTCCCACTCCATTTTCTAGAAACCCCAGAACTTTATGTGCACCTCTATGAAATCAGAAAAGAGAAGAGTTTTTGGTTCCCGACAAAGGAAAATATGAGGAAGATAGTTGCTGAGATCCAAGACTCAG